TTCTCTCTTGTAGTTTCCATGGAAATAACTAGGAGGCATTACTTTCAGAGCGACCTATGTATTTAAGACCGTTCGTATGACAGACAAGCATTCACAATACTTTGCAGAAAGTTCCAGTGGCATCTGAGATGAAGCACTCAGTGAATGAGAACACGATCACAAAATCTGAATAGCCTATAGCTTCCTATTTTAGTAAATACTTGAGTGCTGAAATTGAGGAGATTCTGTTATTTGTATTTTAGCAAGTCTCAAAATACACTGAATATGTAATTGCTTTCCTAATGAGAATTAGTCCTAAATCTTCGTGTCATGCTAGAGGCCATGCCTTTTTTAGCATTGTCTGTGGGGGGAAAAGGAGCTGGCACGCTGGGTAATCCCTTAATAACTGGCAAGTACAGTGAGTTTCCTGAGGCTTAACTTCAATACGTACAGGCAAATCTTATTCTACTACCTCAAATACAGAGTACTCCAGACACAGCAGGGCTGGGAGGGATGTGCCGCACTTCCAGCAGCAGTGTACCCTGCTTACAGCCTAGCAAAAGGATTTATTGTTGAACTGCTGCAAAAACATAATGGGGGCACTGCAAATACAGGCAGACCCAGTGCACCAGACCAGTGTATCGGTAGGAGGGCCTGCCGTACGGTCATATTCCCATTCAGCTACTCTTTACCCACAAAGAAACCTTGCATCAAGACTGATTTGGTAAAAATGAGCAAAATTCTATAGAAGCCAACAGAATTGTGAACTGCGGTGGCTCTACAACATACCTAATCGTTCACTTCTGGCAAATCTAAACAATTTTTCAACCCCTCTTTTCTTTTCACTTTTGGTTGCCATTTGCGGAAGCAGGACTAAACGCTGTGCCCTATGTCCCACTCCCTCGGTGTGACTGTTGCTTTTTGTCACCAAACGCTCGCAGGATTACAACAGAAATTAGACAGGGGTCTAATTAGATAGGGATACAGAACTGAGGGATGCTTTATCTCATACCGCCATCTCCTGGCAAACGGCTGAGTTACAAATCAAAGTTGCCAACCAGGCCTGCTGGGGGCAGCACTGGGCGCGGCGCCATGGCAGTGTCTGCGCGGCGGGCTCTCGCTGCACAGCGGAGGGTGCGGTTCCTCCGCGGGCCTCTCACGGTATTCCATCTTAAATTTAAAGGCTGGAGAGTTACACGTGGGGGCACATATTGTATGCAAAGCACAAATGGAAGTTCTAAGTTCAAAGCTTGGGACTTTTTTTTTTTTTTTTTTTTTTTTTAAATAAAAAAAGAAGGAGGATGCTAATTGTTCAGGATACCTTTTCTCACTGGCCTCAGTGAAAGGACCTTGAGTGCTTTTTCCTTTGTTTTACTCGGTGTTTGGAGGAATAGACTGCAACAGGTCTGTAGAAGTGAGAATGATAGCGTTTAGCTGGATAGCCATGAGCAGATATTTTACCTCAGACAACTTGATCTGAAATAGGCTGCCTGATGTAGAGAGCTAAGCAATATTGGTTATCACCAGTTTACTGGTTTAGAGTAAGCAATGCAGGATTTCAAGGCGAAGGGAGAGAACAATGCCTTTACAGTTCCAGAACCTTAATCATATTTGCTAAAGGAGTAGCCTCAATTGTGTTGATCCAGGATATTGCTTCACCCTTCAGTCTATGTTGCATATTTCGGGAAATGCCAGCAGCTCCTGAGGTGTGAAGTAGCTCCTTACAGGCTCTTCAGTTGCTGTGGAGCGAGAGGTGGATGGTGTATGTCCTTTGTTATCAATGAAGAAACCCCACAGGATTAGCTTTTTCTACCAAGACTGTCTTGTTGGAGAAATTCACTGAAATATGCTGAGAATTTGTTAACTAATTTGCTAACTGATTACTTTCAGAAACAAGTAACTTGCTCTGGCTGCTCTGAACATTTTTTCTTTAGTAGCATGTAGACAAGGATTGATGTATACTGAATCAGCTACTTGAAGAAAATGAGCAGTTTTCATTCCCTTAAGGGTTTATCACAGGGCTGTTAATTCTTTTCAATCTGACTTTACTTGTATCATGACCATTACTTAAAGCCGCTTGAACTGCACCTGATTTAGTATCATTTCAAAATAAAAGCCTTGTGGGAGAATGAAAGCCCTTATATTTTCTTTACAGTGGCTTCAGGTATTACTTTGCTGGGAACACCAGCTTCTGTCCTTTCTCAGTCTCGTGCTGGAAAGATTGCTTTCATACAGAGGTTGGAAGTTGTCAGATTAATCAACTTGCCCTGAAGTAAACACCTACTAGACAGTCACCTAGATTGTAACTTAACTTTGATTTCTATCGCATCTAATTGTATATGGATGGCTATGCTTAGATTATTGTACTGATGTGTGTTGGTCTTTAAATTAAATCTTTCCTAAGTTATTGATAGGGCACCTGTGAGAAGAAGTGGCTGGTCAGTGCTTTTGTTGCTGTTAATTACTGCAGTACCTATTTTGCTGTTCAGAATCTGCGTTTGCTGTTAGCTACTTGAAAACAAAGGATTAGATTTTAAAAGATGTGATTTTTTTTTTTTTTTTAAACTAAAAATATAATTGGGTTTTAAGAACACAAGAATCTTTCCAGCTGTAAATTCTAACAGGTATGAATTCATTCTCTTATTCTGAAACCTGTTCTGTAGCTTTTGAAATTGTTGTCTTTTAAAACTTGTTTTGAGGATTTATGCAGCAAGTAGATTCTACAGAGTCCTTAAAAAAGCATGAAAAATTCCAGGACAAAGGCTCTATTCACTTCAGCAGGCTGTTTCTGTTACTGGTTTAGAGCGTGTGTGAGATTCAGGACTTCAATTTGCCTTTTGGAGTCAGCAGTGTGATGTCATTTCCTGAGCTGCGTGCTGGAAAATTGGAAAAACTGAGATTTTCAAACAACCAGCTTTCTCTGAAGCCCAAGAAATGATACATTATGCTGAAACTTATGCAGTTAATTCTCAATTAAAAAGTACTTCTGAATAGTGAAGAGGAACTCCAAAAAGATGTGCTTTTTACTATTCAGGGATTTTCCAAAATAAGATTTTGTAAAATAGTTGATCGTCATGAAATAAAATATATCTTTCATTGTAGCCATGAAACAAACATGTTATGGACCAGAATCAAGTGCTGTGATACTGTTTTTACAGTAAAAACAAACAAACAAACACCACCAAAAACTAAAAAACAAAACAAAACAACACAACACTACCTCCTTTGGAATGAGATTGAAGGACAGCTAGCTACTGTCCTTCCAGAACACCTTTTCAAACTTTTGTTTAGAGAGTATGTATAGGGCATAGCTTGGGAGTTCTAGAGTAAAAACTATGGGAAGCTGGACATCATTTTAGTTGTCATAATTTATACTGGTTCTCAGGACTGTCTCCATGAAGCTGAGTACTTTGAGACTCCCACATCATCCAGAATTGGAAAAGTTTAAGGTTCATTTCACATTGAACTGTTTCTTCTTTGACGGATGGAGATTGTTTCACATTTCTTATAAAGGATGCTCTGAATTAGTCTTTAATTCTTAATTTGGCTTCACGACAAAAATCAAACATCCATAAATTGTCCCTTTGATTTTGAAGTACAAATGAACTTTTTAACAGTCTGTGTTACTGCTGACTTGGAGGACCCATTTTGCACCCTTTGTTGGGTATTTTCTTGTTTGGGTTAGATTTGTCTTTGATTATAGCTAGTTTAAACCAACTCTAATCTTTTAGCACATTCTTTGTTGTTTTTAACTCTTGCATGTAATCATTCTGTTGTATGATTTTATGTTGTATTTGTTTTGTGGTCAATTTCATTAAATGCTACAGAATATTCTTGGTAGGGGACGAGCTTATTAAATACTCATTAAATGCTTGTTAAGGAGATTCCTTTAAAAACAACAGCAGCAAAAAAAGTGATGTGATGCTCCTGAAATATAAAAAGGTCTAATTCACTTTTCAGACGCATTTCAGCAAATCCTCACTTGCTGTGGCCTGGGACCTTGCTGCACTTTTCACTGTGTTACATCTAGTTATTGCTGTCTAAAGGGATAGGTGATATGGCTGAAGACGGACACACAGCTCTCAAAAATAAGTGGAATTCACCCACCTATAAAATTCTTGTTAATTGATATTTTCAGTTGATGCATCATTAAGAAGGCCCTCTAGTAGTTTTAAGAGATTGGTTTTATTTCTATTAGTGTTAATGTCCAGTAACTACAGAGTGGTAATCTTAAGAGTCTACAGTGCCTATGTGAAGACCTCCTGTCCATTTGTGCAATGCATTTGGTTTTCTTTATGGTGAACACATAGAAGTTACCAAGAAATGTTAGTACAAGCAACGCTTTTAAGATAGAGCTATTGCTCTTACTATTTTACACTAATAACTACTGTAGCTTAATGGTTGAAAACAGATATTCCAAAATGTCAAGTTGCATATGTATTCCTTGGCTCTGAAAGAGGCCTCAGTAAATTCTGCTTTTATAGGGTTTCTATGACTGCCAACAGAAGAACTGTAATACATTTAAAGGGAGTGAAAATTGGAATGAAACATGCCAGAGTAGAACAGCAGTTACTTCCTTTTTACCAATGGGAGAGAACTGATGCAATAAATCATTAGAACAATAAGGGAGGTATGTTTGAAAGATTAGTTATTAGAAGTTATAGTTTAATGATAAATTATGAGAATGAGAAACCTGTATGTAATTCACTACAATCCAGAACTTCCATTAGGGAGTATATATTTTCTTCCTTCCTAATAGAAAGGGTAAAACAAAAAAATTAGTGTTGGCTTTTTTTCTGTGTGCGTGTGTGTGCGTGTCATGGTTCTATGGTTCTTGTTTGTTTGTTTGTTTGTTTTTACTTCGGGTTTCAGTATTCCACATCAAAACATCATGTAGTGTACGGGGCATTAAAGTGTCACTGCCCCAGTCCCAGGTACCTATCCCTGTACATTACAGCAGTCACGGGATCTGGCCCTTCCGGGTGGGGGGGGCGCTCTCTTGCTGCCTTGCAGTGGGTGCTGGAGGGTGCTTTCCTAGCCGTTCCAAGCTTTTCAGGTTTGACTCGGCTCCGGGAACTCTCTCTCTCATCTTGTCTGATTTATTAATCTCAATTTCAATTAAATTGTATATATATTGTGTTATCTTGTATTCCAATATTGTAGTAAAATAAGTTTTCCTCCATAGATTGTTGCCGCTGCTCTTTTCCTCCCTTCCTTCCTTCCCATTTTTGTGGGACTGGGGTGGGGGGGGGGAGGGCGGAGGCCTGTCGCCCCTGTCACGGACATAGATTGATCTGGTCAACTCCGTGACAGATTTTTGGCGCCCGAACAGGGACACGACTGCTTTTTAGCTGTTAGAACGGATCTCTTTTTCTCTCTGCTCTTAGAGAGCTTCGTTAGGGAGCATTATCAGTAGTTCAGGTTTCTGCGCTGGAAAACCTGACCTTGAAAGATTAGGCGTACTGCCAGTGTTCTGGGATATTTGTAAACTTTGAGCACTACTTAGTCTGGGTAGTGCCTTTTTTTTTTTTTTTCCCTGCTCTTGTTAGCTTGTGTGCGTATGAAAGCATACATTTTATGAAGGCAAACTACAATAGCAGTAAAGTGGAAAAATGGCTTCCTGTATCCTAGAAAGGGTAAAGCTCACTTGAATTGGAACATTAGCAGATCCAAAGGCATAGTCCTTTAGGAAATAATTTGTAATGTTGTTTCAACTAATTACTGTACATAGGAAACATGAAGTTCAAAACAGTCATGACCTTTCTTCACATGCAAAAATAATCAATTACATGCTTTTGATTATAAACTTGGGATGCACGTGTCTGTAGATGCTCATACATCCTACCTTATTTTGTATACCTCATCTGAATGCTGTTAAAGCCATCTTGGTGAATATAGATATTTTGAGACAGTGTGTGAATGAGATTGAGATGTTGATGAAATGGAGAGTTCAGTGCATGATTACCGAGATGATCAGAGAATTGGAGCACTTAACAAATGAGGAGATGCTAAGGAAACTGGATTTGCTTAGCTTGGAGAGTGAAAGGCTGAGGGATGGTGTTTGGCAAAAGAAGGTGATGACAGGGTCTTTGAACAGGATACAAGAGCTACAGAGCAATAACAGGTAATAAGGAAGGAAAATTGGCTCACTCCTACCAGTAACAGTTCAAGAGGAGGACAGTCTTTACCCTTAAATGAGGGTTCACACTGGCTCATGATGTGACCTGGCAATCCCACTGCAGATGGGAATCTAACTAATAGCAGTCTCCTACTCCATAAACAGGGGCCAGAAACTAGACCCAGGTTGTTTTGCTGAGGTTCATAGTGAAAGGATTCAGAAGCAACAAGAGAATTTCTGATTAAATACAAAGATTGAGGATGGTTGAACACTGCAAATACTGCCCAGAGAGGCTGTGCAATCATCATTTTTCCAGTTTTCAATATCTGGCTGAATAGGGACCTGGGCAACCTGATCTAAGTTTGGAACTTAAATCAGGAGATGGATAAGAATCACTAAACATCTCTTCCAAATAAAGTTATTCTGTGATTGTAAGTATCTTTTAAACGAACTTCACATAATGCAGAAAAATTATTTTATTTGATATGACCACAGAATTGATGTGGTCTGATAGTGAATGTAGAAAAACCCTGCAATTGTATGTGAAGTAGATGTAAATAGTACTGATTGTTTTGCCATTGAACAGCCTTTAAAAAATACTTTCAAAATCAGGTATGTTTCTTAACTTATCTATCTTAATTTTTCCATCATTGATTCTTACTCTGGAAAATTGATAGGCGTATTACTAGTAAAGCTGTTTGGTTATTCTTTACTAGTAACGCCTTCTCTGTGGGAGTGAATGATGGATGCTAGCTGCCAATTTTTTTTTCTACATTATTTTATCATCACTGAAATTTCTCAAGAAACTTCTAAGTGTGAAAAATGCCGCCTCTCTCTTGAAAAATAAAGATGGTCTTGTATCAACACTCTTTCCCTACCTTGCTCTATGCCCAATGTGACCACAGACAGCACAGGTATAAACTCTTCAGTACTCCTAGAATGACAGCTATTTTAAGAACTGGAACAAACCATGGCAATACATTGCCTACCCAAGGAAAAGATGTTGTGATATGTTATCTCTCCTGTGAAAAAGGATTGAAAAAAAAAAAAAAAAAAAAAAAAAAAAAAAAAAAAAAAAAAAAAAAACACCAGTAATTTTGTAGTCTGTATTAACTTCTAGTGTTTTGCTTATGAAGAAATCTCACTTAACTGAGATGAGAATCCTGCTTTTTCTCTTGCTATAAATGCAGAAATCATAAAAATATTGATAAATTTATAGACAACAATGATCTCAATATCCTAGTAGAGTTTCTATGCATTTTATGAGAAACTACTAAAAACAGAAACACTTGCTATACTTTAGTTGATTCTCTTAACTGGGTGTCCTAGCTTTCAATACACTTCAGATATCAACCTGGACTGTTTTCTGAACTTATTCCTATTTGTTGAAGTTTGAGTATTTACTGAGCTTCTAACATCCCTGATGCTCTGAGAATGCAGTAACAGAGGTAATTAAGTACAGTACTGTCTCAAGATTTTGTCATGAGATTGGTTACGTTACACTGCATACTGGGAAGTTATGTCTGAGTTAATCATAGATAGATGCTACTTGATCATTTTAATGCTACAGAGATCCAGAATAAAAGATGTTTTTAGAAAATGACTTTCTTAATGAATATAAAACTTCATGTATTTCTCTAAAGTTACCTATAAATCCATGTTACTAGATAGATAGTGTGAGACACTGTCCACAAGTCTGTGTGCTTTGCAAAGGCATCCAAAATCAGACAAATCCATTTACTGTAAGAGAACTGGTCCTATTCTCATCAACATTGTACTAGAAGAAGGAAGTTTTATGAAGCATACTGAGTGCAGAATGAAGGACATTCAGGCCTTCAGTGTTGTGTTCCTGTACGAAGAACGTGCAGACATGAACAATAAGAGTACAAACGTGTTGTGCTTCTAAAAGATCCTGGATACAGTGTTAAGCCAGTCACAAGGATTCAATGTATCAGAGAGACAAAAGTGAAGAGAGCCTTTTACTTAAATGATTCCTCTGGAAGGTAAATGTTCCTTTCACTTCAGTTCCTTTTTCTTCCCTTTTCCCGCATTAAAAAGAGTAATAATGAAATAAATAAAAGCCTAACTTAGTAATTGGTCAGAAAACAATCTCCATTCCAACAAATAACATGCATTGAGCACGCTATCATTGCTGTAAGGTTTTAAGAGTAAAACACAGTGGAAAGCACAGTAGCAAGATCCTGGGCTACAGCAAATAAATATTTGCTCAAACAGTAATAGACATAAAAATAAGGGAAAAAAACTGCTTACCTTCAGAAAGCCTTAAGTATACAGGGATCTCTAGAAAAATAACCTTGGCTCCACTGCCAACCCTTAAATGAAATCTGGGAAGGGGTGGATCCTGGCTTCACACCTTCTGGTCACTTAGGTGCACTGCTTTCACCTGAGCTCCCTTGGGTTGGCTCTGCCTTCCTGGCAGGTGTTCAATCACTGTTTCAAGCTGTGGCTTAGTATTTCTACTACACCTTAGAAAGAGGAATGTCCAGATTTCCATAAACAAATAAATGCATAATTAACTTCTCTTGGGCACAGTCTGAAAAAAGAGAAATTTTAAGAAGAATCCCAAATAAAGTAGGTGAAGTGGAAGGGTATCACTTGTGAATAAGTCTTGGAAAAGAATGAGAGCCTAGCTTAAGATATTATTGAGATAGAAGAAATACTTTATCTGAGAGTGTGTCTTCAAAAGCAGTTGCAGCAGCAGGAGAGCTCTAGATTTGTCTTGCCTGTGGGAACATGTACAAATTGCTGTCCAAGAAGTAGGTGAAAAAGGGTTCTGAGTTAGCTGAGATACTGACAGTCAGGACAAAAGAAGAATAAGTATTAACCAGTGGCTCTTGACACACATTATGACAATTCTGAGGATGAGAGGAATTCCAAATGGTGTTAAACGGAAAGAATGTTACACAAATCCCTTGTTTATGATATGTTTTTAAAAGATTTTAATTACTTATAAAAGCTACCCTTCTGAAATGAAGGGGATGGAGAAAATACTGCTAAAAGACTCACAGTGGTTCTACTATATGCAAAGCGAAAATGAAACACAAATCTTTCTTTGGCAGTCAAAGTAAAAATTTCTTTAGGCTTTTGATGCTCTAAGACGTTTATTTTTGTGTATTCCACATGCTTCCTTAAAAATTATTTGTTTTAAATATGCTATTTCACTTGGAAGAAACATGGAACAGAAGAGGAATTACCACCAGCTGGAGTTCTGCTATAGCTATACAAGAAGCTGCAAACCAGTGTTTTACCCTCTTAGAGCTCACTGATGACAAATTTAATAAAGTTGTATAAGTCTTCATGACTTCCCAGATGGCATCTTTAGTTGAGAGGATTGGTTGTGCATTTTTTTTTTTTTTTTTTTTTTAGATAGATTCATGATGTTTCTATCCTTTAATATTCCTTCCTGGAAGAGGGCAAGTATTTCCCAAAAATGGGACCACTGTTGCAAAGAATTTACAACCTGAATTTGTTTGATATGAATTAGTATGTTAGGGAAACAAGCAATAGGGAGAGAATGGGATGAGGAAGTAATACATTTTTTCATGATGAAAGATGAGATTCCTGTTGAGCTCTATTTTCCTGCTAAGCTTCTGAAATGCACATTTAAAAGAGAAACTGCAAGGCACTCTATCTACTTGTTTAGCACAAGCAGGAGGAACTTTCAGGACTGCCTTGATGCAGAATTTACCAGTGTTGAGAGAGCATGATAATGTGAATTTTTCACACACAAGTGGAAACGAGGCATTTAACAATCCCTGTTCATTACATAGCAGTGGTACAAATTCATCCCTGATACAGGTTGGAGCAACTCATCTGACTTTTATGGCATGGATGCACAAGCAAGGTGGTACTCATGTGACTCAGTTGCAACTGAAATAAACTAATTACAATTCTTCTTTTTATGATGACTGTATGGG